AAAATGTAAAGACACAGCTTCCTGCTCCAACCACCTGCAGCCATACCACACCTGCCACATGGATTGGAACCATAAGCCAGAATAAACTTTCTGCCTTAAGTTGCTTCTGGTCATATCTTAATCACAGCAAAAGAAACGTGACAAATATAGTTTCTTTCAGCAACTTACAGTTACATGCATTTAAAAAGAGAAAATTAACAAGCATAAACAGGAAATGGTTCATAGAGAAAGCTGATTTACATAGTATGTCAAATAATAGGTAATTCTACAGGAGAGGCAAGGAAAAAAAATATACTCTTTTAAATTCATTTACATGGAAACAAGAAAAGCATTAAGAGTTTGAGGCCAGTCTGATCTACAGAGCTAGTTTCAGGACAACCAGAGCCACACAAAGAAACCCTGTCTCAAAAACAAACAACAAAAACAAAGAGAAGCAGTAGCAAATACCTAAATGTATCTATCTACCTAGGTCTGTTCTAAATATTTTAGGGATTTATTCCTTATAAAAATCCTGTGGGACCAGTTTACCTATTGTGGTGGTTTGATTGAGAATATAGGCTCATGTTTGACTACTTGGTCCCCAGTTGATGGAACTATTTGTGAAGGATTATGAGGTGGTGACTTGTTGGAGGAAATGTCACAGGGGTGGAGATGGGTGTAGAAGTGAGTTTTCAAAAGCCTATGCTGTCTTCCTCCTTCCCCTACTGTTTCTCTCCTCCTTCTCCTTCCTCCTCCTTTCCTGCTCCTCCTCTCTTCCTCCTTCTCCTTCCTGTTGGTATAATGTTCTTTTGGAATGTATACAATTTACCCTTGTTCATTCAAATGCTGATTTCTCTCCCCCACTATCTGGTTTCAATCCGGACATTGCATTGTGATGCTAAAGCATCACCTGTCTCAAGTTTGTGTAAACATGCCACCATTTGTTCCTCTAAATTATCAATTAAAACAACCAGCCACACTGCTGAGCAATGGAGAGGATAGGGTGGGATACCCTGGTCCAGAGTGGGAAGAGGAAGGAGCAGAGAGAGGAGAGATAGAGAATCTGCAGGAGAGGTCTTAGAACCATGTGGAGAAATGAACTAGACCTGAGATATGACTAAAAGCAAGTATAATGGGTGAAATCTGAATGGTAGGAAACTATGCGGGCTTGGAGGTTTAGGATGGAGTAACTATTGCCCAGCATCGTGCTCTAGGTTAATTAAAGAAATCTTAGTCTCTGTGTGGTGATTTAGTTATACAGCTGTATAGGAATAACTGCTGATTAAAAGATAAATCAAGAGTAAATATTAATGACCTTATACAACACCTTCCTCCTTCCTTCTCATCCTCTTTCTTCTCCCTCTTCTCCCTCCCTCCTCCTTCTCCTCCAGATGAGAGCTCTCAGCTACTGTGTTAGTGCCATGCCTGCCTGATTGCTCTCATGATTCCCACCATGATGGTCATAGACTCTTAGGTAGCCCTCTAAAACCATCAGCCCCAAGTTAAACATCTTCTTTCAAAAGTTGCCTAGGTCACAGTGTTTTATCTCAGCAATAGAGAAGAACTGAGACACTGATGAAGAATCAGAGGCACAGAAGAAAAGTACTGTGCTGAAGCTATAGCCACGGAGCCATAGAAAAACTATTTCAACCCAAGCAGTGCGGTTCTCAAATATGAGTTCTTAACTACTGTGCAATACAATAAATCTACACCCTTCATTGTAAGTCAATAATACTGTATGCAAGAGTTTACAATTTCCAAAGTGGAGACTCACCTGGGTGACTCATGGTTTGAATAGTAACTATAGATTCTGGCTATAAATACTTAAGACAATATTTTCAAAACAATTTTTAAAAGCTATGTTTATAAAACTTAATACTTAAATTGTTAAAATACATGAAATTTATTTTTGGCCCTGATGAAGTGATTAGATTATTATAGCTCAAAGAGTTGGAAAATCAAGTTCAGATTTTTAGTTGCTATCAGAAGAGTAATAAATACCAGAATAGATTTTTCTCTTCATAGTGAATTTGAACCTAACAGGAACTACTATTACTGTATTATACCACCTAAACGAAACTCAAAGTCATACCAAGAAAACCTAAAAATCTCACTTAAAATAACTCACTGCAGATATTTTTAAGAATTGGTATTATACTATTCAAAATACACCATTACATTTTAAATTCCCAAGAAATATTTGGAATCAGTTTTAAAAAGACATGAAATTATCTCATGCTATTTTAATAGTTATGCCTCACTTGTACGTGTTCTGCTCCTTACATTTTAGACACAGCCACTTGATAAATATTTATTGTGTGTGAGAGACTGGGTGCATGCCTGTGTGCCACGTGTATACAGGAGCCTGCAGAGGTCAAAAAAGGGTACTAGGATCCCCTAAAACTGTAGTTTCTGTTAACTGTAGTTTCTGTAGTCTGTTAAGTCACCACGTGGAAACTGACAACCAAATCTAGATTGTCTGTACTGCCTCCACTCCCTGGACAAAGTTATTCTCTAACTTCCAAACAGGCATATCTGTAGCAACTGAGCTGCTGTGGAGTATTAGACAGAGCCTCACTTACGCAGTTAAAATATATATAACGTAACATTCTTTACATGGAAAAAAACACCCTAGCTAACAAGCATATGCCCTGTAACAGTTACCACGTAACTGTTCGTATTATTATTTTTAATTGATACCTATTTTAAATAAACTATGTACCTTAAATACATAAAAAGTCACATTAAACAGTGACATTTCAATGTTTAATACATAATATACTTGTTTTTAAAAAGTATATATTTTTAAAAGGAAAATTTTAAACAAAAACATGAAAGAAAGCATTCAGTTACATTGAACTACATCTAATTGTTGCAACTTAGAGAGATGGGCACTCTGTGTCTCCTCAGGGGGCTTCTAAGTATGATTATCCTACCTATGACCTATAAAAAACCAAAACTCAAGATTCTTCAAAGCTAGACACAAGAGCCAACATTCACTAACCAAACATTACAAATACAGTATTAGAGAAAAAGGGAAGATTAGCAATGAAGCCATTTAACAATTCTTACTTTCTGTTTGAAATCTTATTTGCCAGTGTGTTTTAGAGTTGACTCAGCAGTTAACACCTGCTGCTCCTGCAAGACCCAACTCGGTTCCGAACATTCCTATGGCAGCTCACAAGTACCTGTGACTCCAGTTACAGAAGATTCAATGGCCTCTTTTGACTTCCTCAGTCATCAAGCATGCATGTGGTACACATACACATAAGATAAAAATGAGTACATCTTAAAAAATACAAAGAATCTTACTTTCCAAGACCAGGTTTGTTGGTTCACATCTAAACTCCTAACACTAAAGAGACTGAGACAGGATCTCCATTAGTTCTAGGCCAGGCCAGCCAAAGAGAAGAACTCTCTCAAAAAAGAAAAGAAAAGCAAACATGTCTGTTTTTGGAAAAGTTGGCCCCACCAGAATAATCTCTATTAGGCACTGTTTCAGAAGTGGGCCATCTTCCAGAAGTCTCTGTTCTTGCCTACTGGACTATAGCCTCCACAGCTAACTGGCAAGACACAATGTTAACACACCAGACATTCCATCACAAAAAATAACCCTGGATCAATATCTACCAAACATTTAGACAAAGGAAGTTACTTTCATCAACAGCCTCCCATCATGCAGGTGTTTGTACATACATCTGTCCCTACAGTCTCAAATCCCCGTTATGGGGCGAGTTAGACAGCTCAGCAGCTTCTTGCCACTAAGACTAGATGAACCCATAGACACACATGCTTGAAGGAGACAATTGATGTCTACAAGTTCTCCTCTGGAAATTGGACACACACAGAGACACACACACACACACACACACACACACACACACATGCAATAAATAAATCACCTGTCCGTAGAGTAGTATCAGACAAGGAAACTTGAATATGAACTTAGAAGCCAAAGACTATTATTCTTTAACTAATTCTTGCTATTAAGTCCAATAGCAAATAAGTCACAAAATGTAAAATATTAAACACTTTAGTTTTTAAAAGTAGCATTAATGTGCATTATTAACCAGCCACCTTTCTTAAGATTCACTAGACTGCACACCATCCCTTTTTGAGTGTATATATTCTCTTAAAAGACTGAGGTTTAATCCTTGAGTCTGGACTTCTACAAGCAATAACCCTTCCTACCCACTATCTACAAAGGTGCACGCGCTGCACCTCTGACAGACAAAGCAAGTTTCAATGGCGTGCACTGCAAATGTTGTCCCTCTGCTGTCGGCTCCTATTTACTTCCTCTTTATTTTTACTTCATTAAACGTTTCCTTATGTTGTTGTATCTGCTTTGATAAGAAGTTCTTAAAATTGTGAGACACAGAGAAAAAAACAAGACTTTGAAAATACAATAAACATATTCACACTAAAGTATCCTTTACAAAGCAGTCAACAGTCTTAAGGGAATGGGCAGTAAATGAAAAAATTAATAAATATTATGAAAACTCCAGGTCAACAACTAAAAACTTCCCCTAATAAAGTACAGACAAATGCCCTTCAAAGGAAAAACCCCACTGATTCAGTATCTGTGACTATAAAACTAATGACCTCATATGCAAAATTAAATGGATAAGATTTTTTTTTTGTAACATCCAGATTTTATACTGAAAAGTATTTAAAAATTGTAAAAACCTTTGTCAAATATCTTAGGGATGTACAAAAGAAAAATAACAGATATGTGAAAATGAGCTACATCTGGAAAATATAGACTATTTTATTTCCTTTTTTTAGTAATATAAACTAGCCTACACACAGTGCAGCTTTATATGCAATATGATTGCATGTGAATCTGACAGGGGTGTAGAGGCAAACCTCATGAAGATAACTACATGTGTTGACACAGGCTCATAATTCCAATACTTGGGAGGCAGTAAGATCTTGAGTTCAATAATAGCTGGAGCTTCAAGGCAAGACCAGACTTCACAAACTAAACAACATCCCCACTGGGGCCTGATGTGCGCACTTACCCTTCTCCTCCCATTCTTGTTATCTTAAGTCGAAAATCCACAGAATTTAGACTGGGAGGTTTCCATTTCAAAATGTCATCACATCGACCAGGTTTGTATTTCTAAAGTGAAGTAAAATAAAAGCAATTAGTAAGAAGTTAAATTTTAGGGTTCAATTCATCAAACATACCATTACTTTTTATTAAGAAAAATTGTTACTTTTTAATTTCATTTTGGTTTTTAAATTTTTGATATATACACACACACACACACACACACACACACATACATGCCAAGACCTATGTGTTGTGGTCAGACACAACTCTCAGATGTTATGTTCAAGAAACTCTTTTTCCCAAAGTCTGACATTTAGACCAGCATTTCCTCAGGACTCCCCATCCCTCAGCTTCTCTCCCCTATATAAGCCAATCATTTTGGCTATGTGGGATCTTGGCCTCTTGGCTGGCTTCTGGGCTCTTCACCTTCCTCTCTCCTCTTTCCTCCTCTCACTACCCACACGCCACCCTGGCTCGTGGCCTGGTTCAGATGCTGCTGACTGGGTTCTCCCTAACACCTACAACAAACTTAGTCCACCATGCTAGGTGCAGACATGTCTTCATTCGATTTATTTATCTGGTGCTGATACCACAGAAGGGACATAAGTGAGTCCTTCACACCAAGCTGCTGACTTTGAAGATATGCATGGATCATTGTTTCCGCTGACTTCTGCTACCCAGCACATCTAGAGCCCAGCATTTCAGCTGCTTCTTCCCTCCACGTATACTAACCATTCACCTTTCCTCTCTGGTTCTTACAGCTTGCTATGCCTGCCTGAGGCATCTCTCTATGCCCTTCATATGAGCATATCTTTTTTGTTTGCTTCTTTGTTTGTTTCTGGGTTTCTCTGAGTAGTCCTGGCTGTCCTTGAACTCACAGAGATTGGGCTGCCTCTGCCTCCCACGTGCTGGGATTTCAGGCAGGCACATTTCTCCCTCTATCAGAACCCTTCCTTTTCCCAAACCCTCTAGTCCCCATAAGAGCTAGCTGCTCTGCCTCTTCAGTTTTTCAACTCTCTTCCTCTACTGGATACCTGTCACTCCAGAGGCACCTGCTTTGTCAACTATTATTACAAAGCCACACCAGGATGCCAGAAAGCTGCTCTTGCCCTACAGAGCCCACTGTCACCTGAAAAAGGATGCCTCGCCCCTAAGATTTGGGACATCTCTCTGACAAGTCTCTCCTTTCCCTTGGGTATACCCTGGATTGAAATTCTTGTCTCCACTGACATTTACCCCCCTGGGCCTGTGTTCTCAGCTCCTTCCTGGGGCTGTCTACAACCCTGCAGCTTCTCTAACCCTGTCTGCCTGCTGCACTGCCTTTCACGTCCCTCTGGGAGCTTAAAGGAATCCTCCCTCCTGTGGGGTCACACTTTGTGACCCATTCTCCTTTTCTCCTTGGACTCAACTTCCTCCACGAATTGAGAGACTTACTGCTACTACAAAAAGTTTGTCCTCGATACAGATCAATGACCAAAGTTCAACCCACTAGATTTCCAAATTCTCTCATACAGCAACAACTACTGCTGCTGCACAAATGACCCCAAATCTCTTCTGTCTGTTTGCTCTCCTCTACGCTACCAAAGGGTATCTTATCTCTAAGGTTTTTCTATTCTCCACTCTTAAATATCTTTTATCTCTATGATTTCTTTGCTCTCTGCTCAAAAAAAAAAAATCCTAAAAATATGCTATAAACTATCTCAGGGTTTGTAAGTATGGGTATGATTTAAAATCTGTAATAAAATCTAGTTTAAAGCTTATAACAAAAGAATTATAGTTTAAAAACCCATACATGTGGGTATCCCAGAGCAGAAAGACACACACGGTATATACTCACTTATATAGCCCTATAAGATAGGATAAACATACTAAAATATGTACACTTAAAGAAGATAAACAAGAAAGAGGACCCAGAGTAAGATGATCAATCCTCATTTAGAAAGACAAATGGGATGGACAGGGGAAGTAGGAGAAAACAAGTAACAGGGACAGGAGCCTACCGCAGAGGGCCTCTGAAAGATTCTACCTAGCAGTGTATCAAAGCAGATGCGGAGACTCAAAACCAAACCTTAGGCAGAGTGCAGAATATCATATGAAAGAAGGGGGAATTAGTATGACCGGGAGAGGACAGGAGCTCCACAAGGACAAAATATATCAGGGCACGGGGGCCCTCTATGAGACTGTTACTTCATTCCAAATCAGGCATGTTTTCTAGAGCTACTAGGAATCCTAAGAAACCAAAGTTTACCTTGCTGGCAGACTTCACTCTTAAGAGAGATAAATTCAGAAAACAGATCTCAAAGCAACTTTTTACTATTCTTTTATTTAAAGAAACTTGTTTTGCAATAACTACTCTCAGTAATCAACCACATGTGCTTCATGGTTTTAAAAAAGGTTTAGAGTTTATGTTAGTTCAATAGTCTAAAAAGTGTTTTAAGATGTATAAATGCAAATGGTAAAGGTCTAAATAAGTGATTTAAAGTATATAAGAATGTTTGAATTCTCTACTTCTCTGTGCTATTATTCTACTAAGACTTTAAGAGTTCAGAGTTGTAACAATAATCACTAGAGTTCTGATCAATACAGCCCAGGTAAAGTACTGCTACTGTTATCATAGTCAACAAGCTCAAATTTTTTTCCTTTGGTTGTCCTTTAAGTTGAGACAAGATGAGCTTCTTATTTATGCTAAAAACAAATCTGTCCTCTATTGGACAGATATATATGTCTCTCTGAAAAAAAAAAATTATATATATATATATCCAGCCCTCAACCCATAATCACTTTTACTATAACTCAACTGCTATAACTCTATAACTATAATTCTGTAACTATAACTCTACTGCTTTTTTCTATTATGTGAATTTCAATACAGATTACAAATAGTTTATGTCTAAAACCTTCATCTCTTTGTAAGCTTTAGCGAGTTGACTTGGATCCACCTCTCCCAGGTCAAAGAGACTCAATAAAGATTGAGTACTCCTGTCAATCAACAGTCTAAGTTTCTCCATTCCTCTACTTTTGAGACCTCACTCCCCCAACTATCAGGACCACGGGCCTGGAAGTTTCAAATGTACACCCAATACAAAAAACTTTCCCCTGAGCTCTTTAACTTTACCTTCTGTCCCTAGTCTGTACTTGTCCCAACAGATTTCCAATCAACTGCAGACTGCTCTAAAACTGCCAAAAATGCACCAGCCCCAGGTGTTCCCTGGAATCTGCATTCTAGACTGCTCCAAAGCATCCTTGATTTCCCAGATTCCAAGTGGCCAAAAAGAACCTGTTCAGCAAGCTAAAACAGCCTGCACTCCTCTCCCCCCATTCTTTGGTCATCATTCCAGCCATCCTGCCCCTAGACAATGCTACCGAAATTTCAGTGGGAGGTAGTTATAGAAGAGACTACGTCACTCCCTATCATCAACAAAAATGATAGAATATTGTCTCAAGAAATTCCTTTTCCCAAAGACTGGCATTTAGACAAAAGCCAGCATTCCCTTGGGTACTTAAGATAGTTCCTATGTACTAAAAGGAGTCATTCTCCTTCATGTTAACAAAAGAGAGAAGGGGCTCTGTGCCAGAGGTGCCTGTTGAACATATCAAAGCAGACATTAGCCAATACCTGTTACAGAGTCATCCTAGCTGGCACAATCTCCAGCCACTGAGCTTCAACCCCACTCCTCCAGCCTCTGATCCCTACATAACCTCAGCCATTTTGGCTATGTGCCTGCTTGGTTCCTGCATGGGCCCTGGGTCACTTGCCCCTCTCTTAGTAGTCCTCTCCCTACTCTTCCCCTCCTGTTCTCCCCCACCCCTCTCCTCTCATGGCCCAGTTCAGTCTGGAGTCTTGCAGATTGTCTTTGCCTGTGCTCGGACCTCATACCTACAATAGAAACCTTCTCATGTCCTTGCTTTCTTCATTCACAGGAGTAGTTCTCTCCTCACAGCATGGAATCAAATGCAGGTCACCAGCCTCATCACCTTAATCTTTACCCTGAACCACCTTGACTGACGGATGGATGGCCTGCTACTTCTTTTTTAACTTAATTTTTTTTATCTTCCATTAATAGGGGAGTTATCAATCTATCTGCTTGTTAATGATTTTTTGCCTTCCATATCAAAATGACAAACTCTTGTTTATGAAAGCTCAAGAAAATACATCAATTATTCAATCTAATCTTGCTTTAACTTAAAGAAATTACTATAATAAATTAAAAAAAAATTGTCTCTCATTAAGCTTTCCTAAGGGGAAAGCTACAATGTATAACGGTAAGCAATGATTTTTTTTTTGTTTGTTTTTTTAAGAAAAGGTCTTAAGTATTCCAGACTGGTCTCCAACTCCCTACCTCTCAATATAGTAACTTCTTCATTTATGTAGCTCAACTCTGAATGCCTTCTTTGCCAAATGTTCAAATAGTCTACTCATTATTGTTTTTGCTTTGTTTCACTTTTGGTGTTTGGGTTTGAGTTTTGTATGCATGCACATGACACATGTGTGTGGAAACCAGAGGTCAATGTCTGGTGTGTCTTCCTTAATGGCTCTACCTTCTTCTCACTGACGCTGAGTCTGCTGCACTGGCTGGCCATCAAGCCAAAAGAACTTCCCCTTACTTCTGCCTTCTTAGTGCTAGAATTACTAGCGTGTGCCACTACATCCAGTCAGTTGTTACTGTTTTTAGAAGGGGTTTCATGAAGGTCAATATGGCCTCAAAATGCACCATGTGATTGTGGATGGTCTTGAACCCTTGAGCCTGCCCCCACCTCCCAAAAGCTCAAACTACAAGGCACCATTTTCTTTTTTTTTTTTTTTTTTTTTTGGTGGGGGGTGTGGAGGGAGTGGTGGTAGGCAGTGAGACAGGGCTAGTGTGAGACTCATTACGCAGCTAAAGTTCACCTTGACTTGATAACCATACTCTTTGCCTCACTCCTATACCCCCTCCACCCAGTGCTAAGATCACAGAAACGTACTAACATGCATACTTCCTGCGCATTTTTGTAATTTACCTTCCTTCCTTTCTTTTTATTTTTCCCTTCATTTATTTTTAGGATACTGGAGATTTTTAAACACAGGA